CAGTGTCTGATCTAAGGAAATTTTTAGGTTTGGTAAATTTTAGCAGAGAATTCATCTATGATATGGCAGGAATAGCAAAACCCCTGTACAATATGCTAAAAGATAGTGCTAATACAGATAAGCTACTCTGGACAGAGGAAGCTGAAAAGAGTTGGAACCTGTTAAAAGATGCTCTTACACAAGCGCCTGTGTTAGCTGCTCCCATTGAAACAGTACCATATATTGTTCAATGTTACGCAGGTGTCTCTTCATTAATTGCAGTTTTGATGCAAAGGCAACATGGCTCCTTACGAATACTGGGATATTTTTCTAAAATCATGTCTCCAGTGGAAAGGGGAATGTTTTCCTGTGTAAAACAGCTTTTGGCTGTATGTTGGGCTTTAGAAGCAACACAACACATTGTAGGATTTGGACAGCTAATTTTACAAACCCCTCACACACCTTTAAAACTGTTACACAATTGTTCTGATTTAGGAGTACATAGCCAGAGGGTAGCTCATTGGATATTGAAGTTACAAGATAAACCACTCAAGGTAGAAAGCAGTAAAAGATATGTTATTCCTGAGTTGATAGAGATAAGTGGAACACCTCATGATTGTCAAAAGGAATTAGAAATTGAATCTAAATCTCCTTTTGAGAAACAAGCAACACAAGGGGCTCCTTGTTTGTATGTGGATGGTACAAGATTTTATGCTGATGGATCACATCATACAGGTTATGCCATTTATGACGATCAAACAAAAGAAATGCAGAGATATAAATTGCCAGGCCATATGTCTGCTCAGAGAGCTGAGTTAGAGGCTGTAAGGAAAGCTCTGGAAATAACAGCATATGACCCAGTGAATATAATCAGTGACAGCAGCTATGTAGTTAAAGCTTTAACACTTCATCTCCCAATATGGAGAAAACGGGGGATGGTAGATTCACAGGACAAAGCTTTAAAACATGCAGGTATTTTGGCAGAACTGTTTGACTATGCAGGAAAAAAGGGTTTAACTTGTGCTGTTGTGAAAGTTCAAGCACATCAAAACAGGAAAAATGGGGATGAAATGGCAGAAGGAAACAGACTTGTAGATCAGGGAGCAAAGGAAGCTGCTTTAATAGGAGAGTTGCAATACTCAGAAAATGTAATGATTGCAACTGTGAGTAAAAGACCAATATCAAATCCCCTACAAGATCTGAAAGAAAATCAGAGTAAAGATGTAGCTTTCAGTAAAGAAACAATGGATTTAGATACTGAAACTGGCTTGTACGGGATTAAACATGAGGAAACACAAACGTTTGTACCATTTGTACCTAGTGATATATTGCAGGAGTTGATTGTATTCAATCATCGTACACTGGGGCATTTGGGTACAGAAAACCTGTTTAAGGTCCTGCAAAATAAATTTTATCATCCTAATTTGAAACAATGGTGTACAAACATAGTGCAGGAGTGTCTCATATGTGCTCAATTTAATCCCAGACCTAAAGGTCAGAAACCAAAATTGCAGAGAGTACCTTTGGCAAAAGGACCATGGGACTCTATACAAATTGATTTTATTGGACCATTACCTATAGCTCCAGGAGGACTAAAGTACGGATTGGTAATTGTTGATATATTCTCCAAATGGGGGGATTGTATAGCTCTTACCAATTGTACAGCGTTAACAACATGTAAGGCGCTATGGAAATATGTATTTTCTGTATGGGGTTTTCCCAGAATCATTGAATCTGACAATGGTCCACACTGCATTGGAGAAGTACTTAAAGAGATGTGTAAATTGTTGGGGATCCAACAAAGATTTCATGTCCCATATCATCCACAGTCGGCCGGCATAGTGGAAAGAATGAATAGGACACTGAAATCTAGATTGAAAAAAATGCTTGAAGATAAAGGGAGTAGTTGGGTAACACACTTACCAGGAGTTTTAATGTCTATTCGTGCAACTCCAAACTCCAAAACGCAAGTGTCACCTCATGAGTTAATGACAGGCAGAACCATGCCAATTACTTTCCCCAATGAACCTTTTGTTCCAAGTAGTTTCAAAGTTGCTGCAGAACATGCTGAATGGTTAAAAGTGTTACAAGAACAGCTGCAGTCAGTTTTGAAGTTTGCTGCTTTGAATATGGCCCCTTCTGGTAAACAATGGGTTAAAGATGTAACTCAGGGGAATTATGCAGATAAATTTAAACCAGGATACAAAGTGATGGTAAAATCATTTAGAACACCAGGTCCCTGGCAGGCAGGTTGGGAAGGACCTTATGTTATTCTAAAGAAATTAGGACAAACTGTCTTACAGGTTCAAAGAGCAAAAGTTGGTAGGAAATGTAATAAAGCAATTCTTGTGCATATTGATCAATGTAAACTCACTAATGTATAAGAATAGTAAACTGCCATCTGTTTTTCATTACAGAATCAATAATGTTTGTTCATAGACAAAGACTGTTTAATTTTAAAAAGGACAAATTGTTTGGACTATCAAAAGACACTATGGACAAAAAGACTGCTCTCATGAATGCGATTGGAGAGGACCTTACTTCACGGACTAAATCAAACAGATTGGGGTTTCTTGATAATGTAACCTTTATAAAATTGCATAGCATCATACTGTTTTTAATCATGATGATGTTAGGTACAATCAATACCCAAGGTACAGGTACTCCAGATTGTGATATTAGAGATACTTTTTCTAAATGTACAGCATTCCCCTATGAGTGTAAAGTGAGATATTGTAAGACTCCTGATGTTGATTATTGTGGATGCATTAATGCAGACACATCTGAGGATGCAATATCCGGTGCGCTCATATTCCATGATAACCAAGAACCATGTATGACATATCTATCAGTTGACGGACGAATTGATTTAATCATTAATATTACCAAGGATCGGACATATATAATGCAAAATAATACGGAGAGTAGGTGTGTGGTACCTACTGGTATAGACAACACCCTTACCCTTACTATGTTTAATGTGAGAAGTGTCAACGATGATGGGTTAAATTGCTAAATCTACTTAATAGATACACTTGTTAATCCTTACACAAATGCTAAGGTAAATATTATGACATAATACCACCCATACTAAAAAGGACTGATTCTATTATGAAATATGATCAACGTACTTTATATAATGTAAACATAGGTTACGGAGTTGATTTCTATAAGCAGTTAAAGAACAATGAAGAGTTATTACAAGTTATTGATAAAGCTGCGACTGGAGTACATAACACTTTAGTACAAATACATACAGTGCAAGGTATGATTAAAAGCATTAAACATGATTATATCGAAGAAACCACATCCTGGTGGCAACGGTGGTTTGGGGGACAAAAGACAGGATTAGTTATGGGTATGACACACTTCATAACTCATCCTTTGGTAATTTTGATAATTATTATTATTATGGTTTTATTCTTCTTTAGTTGGTATATGTTTAAAAGAATCAATCGTTTACGGTCTCAACTGATGGATGTGGAATACAGATGTAAATTCCTGACTACAAAATTAAAGTTTTACAAGGAATTGGAATAAATTATGATGCATTATATTTACATAAAAAGCATCAAAGGGGAACTTGAAAAATATTTTTATGAACTTTAAATGTATTCAACGTGTTGTAGGAATATAGAAATATTGTAAGTTATTATTTTAAGCATATCCAGACATCGAGGGGCCTACCCAGATAGATTACTATCATAATGTAATTTATACACATACTGTAATTTACACACATATGGTTTTAAGTCAAGAATGATGGATGGAGACTTGTGGACCCTGTTGATAATAACCTTTGACCTAGCCTTGTAAGCCTGAATTCCTGTGAAGGTTCACATTTCTATAGGCAATCATTCATTCATTCATTTAATTAGAAGTCTCAAGAAGGTCTTTGTGTGTAACTTACCAAAACATCATAACGTATGGCTTTAATCATAGATATCGAATAATACTAAGTTACCACCTATTTTTTCTTAGATAACCAATTATTGTAAAGCAGGCAAACCTTATGTCATTATGTATACGCCCTATGTAATTGAATTTTAAATGTATATAATCCATTGCAGCTAGAATACTAATACCAACGACCAATACCTTTTAACATCAAGCTTGGATAAGATCTAGAAGTGAATATACATTGTCTATTGGTCCATATGATTTTAAAACAGACTTTTGTTGTTACCGGATGATGTGTATATTGTAATAAATATACGGTTTTAACTGCAAGACACTCTGATTCGATTTGTTCAGAAAACTGGAAAACAAATATCTCACGGAATGCAAATTTCCTACAGAAAGTTGGGTAGAAAGTATGTTTTAACTGTATGTGTAATTGAGTTTCCTCTCAGGATAAGGGGAGGGAATATGTGGGATGTAACTGTGATGTGATTGGTTGTTTTATACCTCCCTGTGGGAGGTCCTGTATTTGCAAGACTGTAATAAAAACCAGGCTGGGTGTGCCAGCACCTCAGACCACTGCTTGACCCTCAACACAGAGCCTTGTCTCGTTCTTGGGGGATTCACTGTATGCTGTTAGAGACTGATTGCCAGGAGTGTAAGCTGATTGTCTGCTTTTCCTGTTCATCTGCTAGCAGCTATTCGTGAGGTTCCAGTTCGAGTGTTTGGAGCATTCCCTTGTATGCAGTTCGAGTGTTTGGAGCATTCCCTTCTATGCAGTTCGAGTGTTTGGAGCATTCACTTATTGGCAGTTCGAGTGTTTGGAGTATTCCCTTGTATGCAGTTCGGGTGTTTGGTGCATTCACTTGTATTCAATTCGTGAGTAGTGATGTCGCGAACCCGAAATTTTCGGTTCGCGAACGGCGAACGCGAACTTCCGCAAATGTTCGCGAACCGGCGAACCGCCCGAAACGCCATTGACTTCAATGGGGAGGCGAATTTTAAAACACACAGGGACTCTTTCTGGCACAATAGGGATGGAAAAGTTGTTTCAAGGGGACTAACACCTGGACTGTGGCATGCCGGAGGGGGATCCATGGCAAAACTCCCATGGAAAATTACACAGTTGTTACAGAGTCTGGTTTTAATCCATAAAGGGCAGAAATCACCTAACATTCCTAAATCACAATCAATATGGATTGACACCTGACATATGACATAATGACACCTTGACATATGGATTGACACCTGTCCTCAGAGCCCCTGATGCACACGGACACAGAGCAGAATAGAGACTGGTCCCCCTACATAGGGTCACTTGGCAGATATGGATTGACACCTGGCCTAAGGATCCCTGATACACACTGACACAGAGCAGAATAGGGACTGTTCCCCCTACATCGGGTCACTTGGCAGATATGGATTGACACCTTGTTACAAACTACTATTTGTAACGGGCCCTTTAAATGGCAAATTGCCCTGTTTCCCTGGGTTGTGGAGAAGCCTCTTTGCCAGCCTCCTCCCGCATGACTATGGCCCCTGGGAGATTGTGAAAATGTATGCACTTTTTATTTGGTGTGTATGGCCCTTTAAGACTGTCGGTGGGCATATTGGGGCTTATGGACTCTTTATGTGACTGGTGCTGGCCCTTTAAACACCTTTTTGGGACATCAGGAAGATTGGGACACTGCCCCTTTAAGGCCGTGTCCCCAGACTTGTTGGGGACACGGCCCCTTTAAGACGGTGTCCCCTGTGTCCCCAGACCTGGTGCAAACCCTTTGTGCCTGCCTTGCTATTTCCCACTTGGTTCAGTAAATGGAAATTATTTCAGCTGCAGAGACTAAGTCCCATTCGTGATGGGACTTGATCTTTTCAACCGTTTTTCAGCCTTATTTCAGCTGCAGAGACTAAGTCCCATTAGCGATGGGACGTGCTTTTCCAGCCTTATTTCAGCTGCAGAGACTAGGTATTCGCGATGGGACTTGAGTCATTTTCAACCCTGAAATAGGCCGACCTCTGACCCAAATCTATGGAACTGTTTTGGGCAGGAAAATGTGTACAGTCGGTCATGAGGACCTCCAGCTAACTTTTTAACCCCTGGATGGATTTGGCTGATTTTTGGTTATGTTTATCTTTAAGTGTGCTGATTCCAAATATGTAATTATGAAGATGGGATGTGTAGTTTTAAAGTTACAGGGTATGGCTAAAACTGTATTTTTACTGCCTGTGTTTAATTATGTTAATCTCTTCCCAAACGTCATTTCGTTCAAAGTGGAGAGAATGTTAAAAAAATATATTTTTGTTCGGAGTGTGAGAAATGCTTTTCAGCCGCTTCTAATCTAAAGCATCATTTGAGGAGCCATACAGGAGAGAAACCTTATTTGTGGTGTGTTTAGTATTGTTCTGATCAGTTTAATACCTTCCGCGTCTCCTATCAGTGAACGTGTATATGGCAGCCATTTTAGGAACCGTACACCTGGGACCCGAGCAAGGTCACCTCGTTCAATAGGCGACAACATTTGTCCCTGGAAAACTATCCTGGACATTCTGTACAATTTGTATGGATATGGCAGTGATTTCTGTAACAGGGAGATGGAAGAAGATGCTTGGTCGGTTCCTCTTACTTCAAATTTGGGGCACTGCGCGGTCAAGCTAATGTGCCACCAGATAGAAGTGGTGTGTTTAGTACTATTTTTATCAGTTTAATACCTTCCTCAGTGGTATGCATAACGCATTGATTTTTGTAACAGGGAGATGGAAGAAGAGGCTTGGTCGGTCCTCTTACTGCAAATTTGGGGCACTGCGCGGTCAAGATAATGTGACACCAGATAGGAGTGGTGTGTTTAGTACTATTTTTATCAGTTTAATACCTTCGCGTCTCCTATCAGTGGACGTGTACACGGCATTGATTTTTGTAACAGGGAGATGGAAGAAGAGGCTTGGTCGGTCCTCTTACTGCAAATTTGGGGCACTGCGCGGTCAAGCTATGTGACACCAGATAGGAGTGGAGTGTTTAGTACTATTTTTATCAGTTTAATACCT